GAGTAGCACGTGAGATAATTGGTAAAAAGTTATTGCTAAACATGCAGTCTAAATATCTCCTAACAACACTAGAATTGGAGTTATATAGATTTACATTATAAGTCACCAGAATATAGCTTTTTGTGTCCCTTAAATGTGTTCAATTTACTTAAGATACTGCCAAACATATCGATAAATGAATCAAAGTTTCCACTTGGTGATCTATAACAATTAACAACTAGTAACTTTTCAGATTTAACTGTTATTTCAACACAAAGTGATTCAAAATCAACGGTAGAATAACAAAGCTCAAATTTTTGATTAATATTATTAAATTTGTCACGCAAAAACGTTACCAAACCAGAACCTTTGTGTTTAAGCTTTCCATCCTCCTTCAATAATCGATTAAGTACAAATTTATTATAACCCGGTATGTAAAATGGTTGTGACTCATGTTCTGTTACATTAGTTTCACAAGGAAATATCCATCAGCTTTGAAACGTCCATGGTGCACTAAAAAGCAGTCAAATTTGATCTGAATCCATCAATATTCAAACTTAATAACGATAATCCATTGTCGTTCATTTTTTCTTCAAAATCATCTAACTTATAATAGACGCACTGACGCAGTATCTGGCTGCAATCTTGTTGAACTACCTATCTGGATAATAAAACATGAACAAAACTCATTTTTGTGCATTTCAGAGCCATCTCCTTTTTCGTGTCATTTTGTAAGGCCGATACCCGTAAATCCAAAGCCAGCTTTGTAAAATTTACTATTAGATCATAATATATCGTCAGTTTTAAATATTTACAATGCAACATTTCATTAATCTACATACAAGCGTACTCCAGCCCCTGCACGCATCCGTTCTTATGCGGCGCGGCTCAAGCCGCGCACGCACGCATTATTTTATACTTTTTGCTTTCTAATAAATATCGTGTCAATGTGTACATCTAAATGTTCATGTTTTGTGTAAACCGAATCCAATTGAGATTAGTGACAAGGATAAGGACCCAAGTGCCTGTACGGCTTTTTCGGACCCCTGTGGGACCACTACTCTTGAAATCGCTCTACAACTATTGAACATTTATAACTGTTATATAATATATAACGTCATTTGACAATTATTATCATTAATCTACAATCTAACTTAAACTGTCTTGCTGAGGGGGAGGAGTAAACGCTTCACAAACTAAAGTACTTACAACATACAAAATTTAAAACCATCAACACGGTTATAGTTAATATCAAGGGCCAATTTGGATACCTCTATTTCGTTGTAATATCTAGTATATCTTCACATCTTAATACTATAATGAAATACAATAGGATACATGTTTCGAGAAAGAAAGGTTGGTCCGATTATTAACAAAAGTAAACAAAAGTCCATCAGGGAATCCACGGAGTCGAAAAAGGTACACGGCTGCTGTCTGGTGCTGCTAGGCATTTATTGATCAAGATGTTTTATTGTATTGGTTTTTGATGATTCTATTGTTCGTGACTAATCAAGTTCTAAGTGGGGGTATAAAGTGCTGCTTAAGATACTTCGTCATCTCATGTCCAGTATAATGAATAAGATAGTAAACAATACAGTTTCAGTAGTTGACCCATACAGTTAAGTCCGTCATAACTCACAATTGTTTAATCATCTGTCAATTGTCAAAGTCGTTGTGTGTTTAGTCGCTGAGTTAGCAGTAAGATAAGTTGTTGCGCGCGCGCGCGTTTGATCCCGTCGACGTGAGATGTGACAATGAAAACGCTACAGAATTATTGTTTTCGTTTGCACAGTAACTTTCGGCCCACCCTGTTTTATATGTACATTTATTTTCCCCTTACAACATAAATAATTCTTTTGTCAAAATAAATGAATTTTAGCTTTCATGAGGGGGGGTTGGATTTGAAAATGTATAGTTCTAGTCACAGAAAAAAATAGTCCTGTTCAGCGGGCGTGCGCATCTGCAAGTGTGCGAGCTCTAGTTAGAGCAAGGCAATCACTACTGATTGTGCGCGGAAAGTTATAGTAGGTAGTGCGCCATCGACAGTGAGCCGTGTGGGAATGTAACTGTAGGATGGTTTTTTAGCGCTAATTTTGAATTTCGGCCAGAACAAAATTTTTGGAATAAATGCGTATTGAGTAACCTTCCCTTGATTCAATTCTAACAAAATTTGGTTATATATGTTAGCTTACTCATAGACTTACCAGAAAACTGTGCGAAAAATTTAAAGCATATCCAACTATCAGATGTTATGTTACAGCTAAAAGCAGCGTATTTTGCCCCATTTTGCCTCATTTTCATTACTATATCAACTCCGATATCCACTAAATTTTTCGGACAGTTGTGAAAGCCCTATTGGAAGGTCTTCACAAATTTTCAGAATGATCTTATTTAAGGAACCGAAGATATGGCAGACACAGGGGAGCTGAAACCAGGTTTTCGACCAAACGCTGCCATTTGTAGTCAAACGTCGCCAACAGCTGCTCTCGTCCAATGAAATTGCTGCATTATGTAAGCCAAGCTCCGCATATGAATATATGTAATTCAATTATGCATAATGAGTTGCAAAATGCAGCGATTTCATTGGACGAGAGCAAATGTTGGCGACGTTTGACAACTAATGGCAGCGTTTGATCAAAAACCTGGTTTCAGCCCCCCTTTGCAGAATAATACAATAAAAATTGACGAATTTCGTCAAATTACGCGACTTATATTGTCATTCACATAACCATGTGTATACGCGTACTGCGTGACGCGTTTCGGCGGTCGCGCGCTACTGCAAGCGAAAAGGCTCTGGTTAGAGCAAATATTGTCATACGTTGTATGACCCGCCGCGCACGAGTGCGCGGCCCGGCTCCCCTGTATCGTAGAAACACCATAGTTTGACGGATGTTACTCGTCTAAATTTCTTCGAAGTAGCGCGCGCCGCTTTCTTCTCGTGCCCGACGGCACGAGCTACGAAGTAGCGCGCGCCGGGCCAGATCATTAACAATGGTCAACACCATAGTAAAACGACCGTGGGGGTCACGACGTAACACAAAACTTTTACACCTACTTTTGGTCCAAAAGCCGCGCACCATCAAATATGGCACCTAGGCCGCGAAACTCACTGATCATTCTTGTAGCGCGATGCGTTACTGTGCCGCGCCGCGCACTCAATGAGGCTTCTCACGCTACTGTGCCGCGCCGAGCTGCCATGAATTGGACATCGTCAATTAATGATCATTCCAAAAAGGTATAACAAATTTGGTTGCTCTAACCAGAGCCCTCTCGCTTGCAGTAGTAATATTTTCAACTTGTGAAACAAGCGCGTCACGCAGTACGCGTATACACACGGCTTTGTGAACAAATTTTGAATTTGGTTATAGTGTGAAATTTTCTCACAGTCTCTAGCAAAAGCAATGGTACATACATTTTACCTGGTATGGGGACCCCAGGCTATTATGTTCATATAATAATTACATAGCCTGGCGTAATTGAACCCTCTAAAACGCGCACATAGCACATAGGCGCGTTTATGCGATTTTACAATCAAATAATCAATTTTACAACCTAACTCAGCGCGGCGGCTCTTGAGCGCATACGTAACTTCTTTTTTATTGCACAGGGGGGGTTGAAACCAGGTTTTCGATCAAACGCTGCCATTTGTACTTTGTAGTCAAACGTCGCCAACAGTTACTCTCGTTCAATGAAATCGCTGCATTTTGCCTTCCATTATCAATTATGCTTGATTCACGATGTCAATCCTGCGCAGCTCGGTGAGGCACAATGGTGCATCTCGCCGATCTACCGAGAAGCATTATTGGATGCGCGCGCGCGACCCAGTAGTGCATCGCGCTACAACAATTATGCATGCATATTAATTGAATTACATATATTCTTGTCATACGTTGTATATCCCGTCGCGCACGAAGTGCGCGGCTCCCCCTGTATCGTCAGTGAAACGTCAGTGAAACGACCGTGGGTGTCACATCGTGATACAAATAAGCATGGCATTTGCACTTTTTTCAAAACGATGGAGGTCGTGATTCACTTAGCCCGAATAAAGATTCGGCGGAATGACAAGCTGAGCGCCGCCTAGTACAGTAACATAAATTTTGAAAATCCGATGTCCGAGCAAGTTTATTTTTATCGTGCACCCCCTAGTTATACTTATAATGTACCAACGTCCAAATTTGATCAAGCGTGACCAGTGCAGTGATCACGACAATGTAGCGAAGTTACGAATTAAAACAAATTGGCACTGTCAATTACGGAATTGAAATTTTAATTAAGTTAATGGACGATGAACTAACTCAAGGCACGCGCGCAACTTCGCAGAACTTTGCCTTGACGGATTCCTAGGTGCTAGATGATATGATACTTATTTAAATTTGTATAAAGTATATAGTGCGCACCGCTTTCTTCTCGAAATGGGGAAGTGGTACGTTGCTACAAAGTAGCGAGCGCCGGGTACGGTCAGTCCATTAAAAATAAAAAACGCAAGCTAGCCATTTTATTAGGGCTTTTATTAGAGCAACGGCGGGCCGGCAAGTACGCGCTACTTCAAAACCAAAAAAAATTTAGACAACTAGTAAAAATATTTAATATAGTGTTGTACTTGTAGGTTTTGGACGAGATATATCAATATGTTGTATACACTTTTTAAATGCTTTTCATAAATTCCAGACCGATCCTTTTAATATGATTTGTAATACAACATACAATTTAATTTTATGGTCTAAATGGCATTCTCTATACTAGCAAATTTGAAATCGATAGTTCAATTGTATAAAATAGAGTTTAGTGTATCTGAAAACAAATAAAAGTCTTCCATTTTGTTTTGATCATAACATTTGTACTAATAGTAATACTTAGTAATTAGTATTAGTACATACTTTTTTTCGAACGTGCTAAATGCACTATGGCACCCCTGTGTACAATCGATCTTCGAGATTTTTCTAAAAGGGCCCCCGGCAATTGAAACCAACTTGGATCGATGTATTTTCGGACGCTGATTCCGAATCACCCCGGCCCCATGACATAGGCAATAGGGTTAAAATGCTCCCCTAGCGAGATATTAGCGAAAAACTGTTTCGATCACGTGATATGACCGTATAAGGAAGTTGGTCTAATCTCTCGTTAGGGTTAGGGTTTCAGTGTATGCTTTTGTTAAAGATTGGGATAGGGTTAGGGTTGGGATCAGATTAGAGAGCTAGGATTTCGAATAGTCATTCAGGGCCAGCTAGAGAACGTGTTTAGAAAGTCACGTGACTGGTGACAGTCGAGTGTAGAGTGATTAATCAATAATCATCATCCACTTTTTTTTTCTTTTTTCTTTTCTTCCTTGTCCTCCTAGCATTATCAAAACAAAAGACACCACACTTCAGATGTTCTTCAAAGTCGAAATCGTGGGCTGTCCTGACCTGAGATGTACAGTTTTTACCGAACGAAGGACACAAATCTTGTAATATTTGATAGACAAATGTGTGCACCTTAATTCCTCAAAATGTGAAAAACATGAAGTCCATTTGTAAATAAAACCTAATTGTTAAATCGGTTTGAATTAACAATTAAGGTTATCATACAGTATACTCCACAGTTTTCAGTTTGTAACAATACCTCGTCTTTGTTTACAGTTAGTGGGATATCCGTCGTTTTTGTCGGAAAACAATGACACCCCTTCTTGGGTCCAGTATATGCGGAGCATCTGAAATATGTCACTACTGTAAGCTTGTTACTGTTTTTCAACTAGAATATTCATTGTTGATTGAGTATTGTGGAGAATACCAAACGCCCAGTAACTATTATAATTCAAATGATTATTTCTGTCTGTATGTACGACCGCCCACGTGCAAATTCGGCAAAAAGCAAAAGGTTGCAAAGTAACCATGGTAACGTTTCGTTACACGCACGTGCACGTGCAAAGATTGTTAAAACGGTATTTTTATCGGTTTTGTTGATATTACGTTGTGTTTAGTGCGAGCAACATTTTAATCGGCTGTATCTTCGGTTGTGTAGGATATTTTGACGCGATTTAAACTCACTAACAAAAAATACTATTAGTTTCCTCCTTGTGACCACGGGTTTTCTAGTTATCTATATTACTAGGTCTGTACGACCGCCCACGTGCAAATTATATGAGAAATAGGAAGTTACATGGTAACCATGGTAACGGTGTTGAAATGTGCACGTGCACGTGACGTGCAAATATTGTTAGAACGGCATTTTGATCGGTTTTGTGGTAATTACGTTGTGTTCAGTGCTAGCTACATTATAATCGGCTGTATCTTCGGTTGTATTGACGGATGATGCGATAAAAACTGACTACCAAAGAAATAGAATACTAGCTTCCTCCCTCTGACCACGGGTTTTCTAGTATATACAGGGTGGGCCAAAAGTCAGTACCCATAGGTTGGCCTTTATAGCTCAGTCACTGATTGCCCAATTTAAAGACTTCTTTCTGGTATGACTTACTACCACCACTGGTTCGAGGAATTTGTCAACTCGAAAAATATTTGCGTTCATTTTTTTCAAATGGAGGTTCATTTTCACATTTATTTGATAGTTTGGATAGTCAGATCAAGCTAAATGTTATTGAATTGTGTTTGGCCATTCGAATTACGTTTGTCCTGAAAGAATTAGAACTGTAGCTTCTCAGATGACCGAGATATGAAGCATAACGAGTTTATTCATTACGTGTGATAAGGTGATTGGTTTACCTAATCACGTGATAAGGTGCCCCCGTTAAACATTATGGGAATTGTTAAGGGTGCCCAATTAAGGTGTCGTGTCACGGTGTCACATAATCACCCAGTCAATATTGTTAACGAGATACAGAAAATGCTTGATAACTTCGTCATTTCTAATCTGTTTTGAAATAATATAATATATATATATTATATATATATATACATTTTTTAAAATAACCATTGTATGAATGTTATAACTCCTCCCGAAAATAAAGTACTACTCAATAAATACCAATACTGGTGGGCGAAGTGAAACATATTTGTTTCGACACGTGCCAGTGATTTTGGGTTTTAGTTAATCAATAATAAATTAAGCTGATTGCTTAACTGTGTGACGTGTCAAAACAAATATATTTGATCATTCCACAAGTATCCACATCTATTATGTGTATTATTATAACATAGATCACCTGTTAACGGTGTGTCGTCGGCGGTTATAAGGTCCCTTTTGTCCGGACGCGATGGAAGAACGAGCACTTTCCGGGATCCACCTCGAAACCAAACAGCAATCCGAGCATTCCTGATTGGAATAGTGTGAGAGTTTATCAAGATGCACATTTGAAGTTGTTGACGATAATAACTCAGCAAAATAGTGTCAATCACGTCACACGTGCTATACAGCTGCTGCTAAGGTAGTAGTAAGTAGAGTGTTGTGATAAACTGTTACAGTCGTTACCTTTTCTTCCTGCACAGCCAGATCTTGAATCTCATATCCTTGGTCAGGGTACCTTAGCAAATGGTTCCCTGGCTGGTAATCCACATTCTGAGAAATCAATCTCAAGCACCGAAATAATTATAAAAGTTCCTCCTTGATATCGATTGTAAAAAACAGCAATTCATGTTATCTATTAACTTATTAAAGACACGGCATGCAAAAGTATTTATTTCAGATAGACCCTACGGTTTATAAGTTTGTTTGATAACCCGGGTAATAGCGCTAATTCTCACTAAAAACCCGGAAGAATCTGTAATGAATATAATCTTCTTCGTATGCATTGGAAACTTACCGGGTCGTTGAATCCGATGACGATAGGACATACATCTATCTGACTAAGCTGAGCGGACGTCCTACATTCCAATTTGATTTTAATCATGTATCTTGATTCTGAGAAGATGCTTCAATGTTTGGTGTTTACTGGTTACCAAGTCAATATATTTTGGATGCAATGCTTGTGCATGCAGGCAGCTTGATTTGGGTACTGCCTAACTGATTTACTTTAATAATTAAACAAATATAACGTACATTATTTGACTGCTGTAAAAAAGGAGATTAAGTGTTGTCCACTAACCCGGGGGTATATGAGTGACGGTGCAGTTTTTAGGGGGGCACTGTGTCCACTGTGTGTCCCAAGTGTAGCTTAACCTGCAACCACGTACCTTCATCCTGTGGAACACTTAGTTTTGTGAGATTTAAATATGGTATTGAAACTTTATCATCTTCCAATCTTTACTTTTCAAATATTAATGCAATTTTGAATTGATAAGTTAACTCAGCCGTCAATTTACGCAGTATGCACCTTTGATCCAAAACGAAATGGTTAAAGGTGGAGATGTGATTATCTGCAACCACCGCCACAGTAGAGACGTACTTACGTGCTGAAAACAAATATCACTGAATAAGCATCAAGTTGATAATTTATAGACCTGATCATATTAATTGTCAAATTCAATATTTTAATTAATTATGGATGGATAGCGATGACCGGGGATTATGATTAAAAGAGAAATATTCCAAAATTGAAAATGCATAGTTTATGTGAGCAAAATATTTTCTTGATATTACAGATTAAACCAAAATGCAATAGTCCCACAAGCTTAAATTCTAAACTAAAACTCAACTGGGTTCTCCTGTGTCACCAAATAACACCAAGAAGTTTTTAAGGATGAAACTTTGCTCTTTGAAGTATTTTTAGATTCTTATATTCTTATATTTTTATATTTGTACATTGATCTAGTGGAATGTGGATGGTAGAGCTGGTTTCAAGCACAGGTCGATCCAACGATAAGCATGAGTGACCTTCGGCACTTGAAACCTCCTCAAGCCTCCACTGATTTATTTATTATTAATATTGTTAGATTGTGCCGTAAAAACAAATAGTTGTTTTATTGAATAGTTGTTTATTAACGTCTGTTTCAGAGGAGTCCATGCAGTCTATATGCAAAATCAGACTGTACAAAGTTAAAACTAAATTAACAAAAATTATGATTAATGGCAAGGTACCTTTAATACTTTATCAGCATTTCAGATAACTTGAAAAATACGGTATATAACAAAACGTAATAACGAAGTTATAATAACGAAAACTGAAGAAGGTATTCCATTCACCCCATGGGTGATGTGCGGTTTCATTACCACGACTACGCGGCTTTGATAAAAGGTAATTTATAAATTTCCCTGTTTACTCAAACTGGATTAAGAGCGTGAACGTATTTAATATTGCCTTGGTCTATATAATACTAACATTTAAGGTCAACTCTTCAAGAAATGAAATTTTTATAAATTTAGAAACCATGAGCTTAGTTTCATATAATCATATGGAAATAACCGCCTATAACCGCCTATAACCGCCTATAACCGCAAATAGCCACCTATGTAAATTACTTTAAATTACCACAATCGAAAAGGGATCATTTTGGAATATCAGGTACTTTTAACAAAACTTACGTTTGTTGTCCAGTCCAATTAAAGATAATTATTGACTGCAAGCCAAAATCATGGAACATTATGTTGATCTACCTGGTGCCATGATTGACCTGTATTCTCGTAAATCTTACCACTTTCTGTAGTGCATGGTTCCGATGGCCAGAATGCTATCCCTTTAGTCCTCTGTACTGGGTTCCTCCTCAGGGCTGTCATCACCTCCCCATAGTGCCTCACTGAGCAACAACAGGCTCCCTGAACAGTGAACAGTGAACACGTTGGTAACATGTGAACAATGACATGTTTTTTACGGGTTACCATTTTCAGTTGAAATGTTTAGCCAACTTTTAGCCAGGTTGTTTTTGGTCATTTGATTTGCAGATCCGTTGTAACTTGTTAACTTACCTTGATTGTCTGATCACAGGACCAAGCAGGTACTATGAGCATCACCACCACGACAATTATAGACATTATTAAATCTGGTTTAATTAATTAATTAATTTACTGATCGACCGATAAAAGAGCTAGGAACGTTTAGTTAATTGGGTGGAAGCATAATTCCGTCTATCTAAATTCTAAAATAGTAATTTAATAGAATCGTAATATGGATCATATGGTTTGCTATGAAATATAAAACGTTACCAGTTAAACAAAATAGGTTTAGATCAGTGAAAATGGCGAACAAGTAATTAATGATAAGCACTGAACCCTTGGAACAAAAAGTTTAAGCTTAGTTCGTCTGTTAACACTTAATCAAAGATTACAAGAAAAATCTTCCGTCAGCGTAAATAGAATAGGCGAAGCACACGTATTCAAAATCATCGATTCAGATTTACAAGAAGAGAAGAAAGTACAAAAGCAAACGACGCTCTGACTTCACAATCTTCATAGGTATTACCATTGGAACTAAATTATCGGAACTAAAGTACAACACACACTTGACACTAATTGTGGATGGCGTAGTAATTCAGTAAAATGTTTCGGCATCCTTTGTTGATATATTATACCCCCAACAGATTTAGTTAGACGGGTTCCTGCTAGTTCAAATAAATAGTGGGAGTTAGTAAAAGTAAAATTGTAATGTTGACAACAGGATAGAGCTCCGATATTCTAAAAATAAGATCTAAGAAGCAACAACTACGGCAGTAACGGCACAGTTGGGACTTTGGTCTTGGATAATAATAAACTTAAATGAGCCAAGTATACTTACTTTGATACTGTGATGAGGTTTAGCCAGAATGTCAGGGCCATCGTATATCACGTACACCACCCGAATGATGAGAATATTTTAACAAACCAAAGAGCAAACCCCGACTGCATTGCATGTAAGAAGGCGTCCCGCATTTCTCCACGAAGAGCAGAAACGGCAGCTGCAAGATTGAAACTTATAATATATCAAACTATCAGACTCTGACACGTATAAAACAAGCCGATTATCATTATTCAATTAAAAGCTGTTAGTGAACTTAAAGCAATTGTGAATTGACAAAATTGCCATCTGATTAAGACAATGCGCGCATCTTGAGAAGTTGAGATACCTCAGTATAAAAGCCTGGGGATTGGGGAAGTGACATGGCTGATGCAAATGCAAGTTAGTAATAATCCAAGCTGATAGATTACTCACTTACTATAAGTGTCAAAACATTGAAAATCCTTCAAAAATGTCCGTTCAATTTGGCTCATTTTATAATTACATTGCAATAAAAAACGTTATTGAATCTCGTTTGCAACTTTTTCTGATCATTTTTACGCGATCAAACATGATATCATGGATGGAGATGAAGATATCTATAAATTATCAAGGAACATAACCAGGCATCATGATGGATTATCTACCGCGACACAGGGAGTTCAGATTCTGGTCAAGGTTTGGCGTCACACCACAAAAACGATATGTTTCTAAGTTTTCTTTTACAAAATTTAGGAATTTGGGAATTAATTATATTTGCATCGACAAATTTATCTCGAAATATCGTGACACTTTCCTACACGAGAGAAAACATAATGTTTGTTCTGAGTGGGTCAATGAAGCTGGAGTAATAATATGCTCCCGTAAACTTCTGCAGTCGTGGACCTTATCTTGCAGTTTTGTGATTTCTTCCATCTGTAATAAACTATTATTATGTAATTGTAAAGGGATGAGGGAAAGCCACGAAGTTACAACACTGATCAAATTCAATAAGCATGGGAAAAAGTTGTATGCGCCTAAGATGAGAAGTACGTACCGTACAGTTAAGGTGTCCGTAGCGCCAGTTCAAGTGTTCCTGTTAGTGTTATTATTTTGTCACGAAAGTCGGACTTCCATCGAAACCCCATTTATCGTACTTTATATAACCAATTTTATTAGTACATACGGTACAGCCATTTTAAAAAGTACATACCGTATGAACTTCTCATCATTATAGGTATGCGCATATTGTATTTACATGAAAACTTCCTTAGAGAGAAAATTCAAAATCAAAGAAACAAAATAATTTTGTAAAGTGCAAGGCCGGCCACGTAAATCTCAGCCATTTCCTACAATAGAGTGATAGGCGTTTAAACAGGAAAAACAATTGCAATTTCTTTTAGCAGCCTATTGTAACTGATTTTAGACGATTCATGATACTCAATTTCGCAGATAAAATATATATTTTATTGTATTCCCATATTGATATACTCACTACGTGATAAATTTGATGACATAATATTTTTGAGATTCAAGATAAAAACCGATGAGACGATCTACAAAGCACAACTCACTTGTTAAATTGCGGTAGATTGAATAATACATACAATCCTTTGTTATAAAAGATTTACAATCCTGGCTCTGTGTCTTTAAGTATCAATTGTGTCATATCAGTATCAGTGTCAGTGTCATATCAGTATTATGTATTAATCAACTTTAAGTTGATATAAATCATTATCATCAGCTATAGGAGGAGCTGCAAACATAAAAACTGATATCTTTGAAAATATAACGCAGTGTCAAATGTCTAAAACATATTATGGCGGTTAAAAAGTTAAGTTATCACAAATGAGTTTTTCTTATTGTCGAATGTCGATCATAATCGCTTATGAGTGGTTTTTAGGTTGTCGATTACAATCGATTTCATAACAGAAAAATAGCGCCAAAATCGCCTAATAACGCTTATGAACGTTATAAAAATGCTGAAATAGTGTTGAAGGATACTTTTCTGTTGATGAATGAGAGGGCTTGCAGGAAATTATTTACTTGTTTCTGTTTTATTTGAACATTCTCTTTTTTAAATCTCAATCACATAGTCGCTGAATGTCGCTGAATGCCTATTTCACGAAAAGTTGTAATAAAACTCGAACCATTTAGTACATCATTCGGTGGCTATGTTGAAATATTGCTGTAAACTTGAAAAATAACGAGCAGCATGGTGGAACCAGCTAGGATCCAGTGAGCATCATGAAATTAAAATACGTCAGTAGAATGAATAGGCATTAACCGAGGATGGGTCCGCAGCGTCAACTGGAGCAGGCTCAGGTGGGGATGTAAATTTTCAAATGTGAAATAATTCTCTCCTTCTCCTCGTTAATATATGATGCTTTTTCGTATATTTGTTATGGAATACTCATCCATTGGGAATATTAATTTGTGATTGTAATTTATCGAAACTTCAAAATTCGAACTAGAGAAGATGACGGCAAATAAAAATTGGAGTTACTAACGGATAGTTCATTGTTTCAAAAGGATCCTGACCAGGAGGAGGAGCAGACTTCCGATCGAGGGAATTTTTCGAGGAGGGTGGCTTTAAAGCTCCTATCGTCATGTTATTTCCATATGACGCCAACAGGCAACGTTACGCCACTGTAGTAGTGGTATCTTGAACTTGTATACACATTTTAATCCGGATTGCAATTTTAGCATAAAAGTACAAACATATCATATTGTTGCTTTTCAATTTTCAACTGATTATCGTCGCGTTGTTATTATTATTTTATTCTATTGTTAGTGAATCAAGAACAACAATATACAACGATGTGGTTAATCTTGCTGCTGTTCCTTCTCTTCATCGAGAATACTGTCGAGTACTTTAAAGTTGATGAAGGTAAGATCATGATGGATTAAATATTTCACAAATCTCTTTATTTATAGCAGTTCAATTAAATTTGCGAAATGATATTGCAGTCATAATAAACTACCAAACCAGTACAGGCATAGATAAGGCAACGATCATAGATAAATTTGCACTACCTAAAGGCCAATAAATTTGGTTCGCAATAAATTTGGTTACAAAAATTTTGGTTACCATAATTTTAGTCACAAATTTTGCAAATTTTTAGTCACATTTTTTGACTTTTCGAGATCATTTTCCACTCCATTTTTTTCCATTATTTTAGTTTTTTCCCCGATTTCGCACACAAAGTCAGGCATGTTGATTAAATGATCTGTTGCAATTTTTCTGATGGGAAAAGGAAGTAAGAAAATGTGAAAGCATAAAAGCAATGCATAAGCTCAATAATATTCATGTCATAATTAATATGCTCTACTGAAATTTTTGTCTACTTTTAAATTAGTCGCCGAAAAATGTAGACTAAATTAGTCGTTCTTAAAGTAGTGGATAATATTTTACTTATAATATCTACCAGCTGATGTATACTGTAATGTGCTATTAAATATTCACGTGGTAACAACCTCAGGCTGGATAGCAGTACAACGCGATGTGAATATCTACTTTAATCTGGAGAAGTATTCTCTTAACATAACGACTGATAGTACGCTAGGGAGTAACCATAACGTGGATGTGGAGCTCTTCACCTCACAGAGAGACAAAGTAGGAGGACTCGTCCTCCACTTCTCCTCTAATCCTCTAATCTTTATCTGGTACTGCAGCTCCGGCTCAGACTACTCTAACTTCACCACTAACCTGCCACCTGCTACAAAGAAGGTATGGAGGATAACCTTAACCAGAATCTCAGGTATCAGACTAGTGATTCACTGTAACGAGGTGGAGGTGGTCAACACCCTGATGTCAAACTCAACGTGTGATAACAGTGACTGGAGCAGATACTGGAGCGGAGAAGTTTCAAAGATACTGTTCTTTTCCTCTGACACTGCGTCTGACTACTACCAACCTCAACCACTAGGTAATTGAGTATTTTGAAAATGTAAAATATAGGATAAGATGCTATTAAGTTAACTTTGCATTGCAATACGTACATATTACTTGTGAACCTTGTATACAGTATTAATTTATGGAATTTTTCTTTTTAATCGATATAATCGAGCCCTGTTTGAGGAATATAAAATATATGGACCTATTCATATTATCAAGGATGTACTGGACTGAAGACTGAGTGGACAAGTACTATCGAGACAGCAGCTGAGTTTCCAGTAGACCCAGGAACCGTCGTGAAAGTGACTTGTTCTGACTCTGGAGCTCTCAACAAAGGGAGCAATGAGGTGACTTGCACAGCGGGGACCGTCTTCACCTACTTTAAAGAACCTTGTTGTCTAAGCCTTGGTAAATTTTAAAGTAGGATAATTTCAAGGATAATTTCAAGGATAATTTCAAGGATAACTTCAAGCATAACTTCAAGGATAACTTCAAGGATAATTTCAAGGATAATTTCAATGATAGTTTTAAGGATAATTTCAAGGATAATTTCAAGGATAATTTCAAGGATAATTTCAAGGATAACTTCAAGGATAATTTCAAGGATAATTTCAATGATAGTTTTAAGGATAATTTCAAGGATAATTTCACGGATAATTTCAAGGATAATTTCAAGGATAATTTCAAGGATAATTTCAAGGATAATTTCAAGGAAATGACATACCAATATGGCCACCTGGTTTAATTTTAAACGTTACATAAACGTCTAAAAATAATGTGGGAAAGGGAAAAAGAACAAAAAATCGGGGTTCACGGCAAATTGGGTTTTATACTGCTGATCACTTAACTCAGATATCAATTTGAATAGAACAAGTATACGAGCCATATACGTACCTGCTTTATCTCCTTGTTTTATTATTTAACTTTTTCAGTATCTACCTCTTTAAGATAACCTAGGCTTATATTTGTAGTTAAAACTTGAATTCAGGTATCATAGTAGTAGAACTTTATAATGAAGCAGGCAAAAGTGCACAGAGAGCAACGTGATGAACAATGACCCCTCCACGATAGATTAAGATTAAGTATTTCAGTTTTTTCTCTTATAAAAGTGGGTACCATTGGCAATAACAAGATTTTACGTCCAGTTGCTCATTACAAGTTCTTCGGCCAAGCTTCTTATTTCATCTCTTGGGGTGAATGATCAATGAGCATATTAAATTTATGTAAATTTAATCTACGCTGTTCTGTCACATTTCCAGTGTGTAAAGGGACCTGGTGATAAAGCTATAACTTCCAAAGGCAGATCACAACTTGGATTCCTGAATTTCCTGATATTGGATAGCAACGAAGATAGGTACGTCAGTTTATTCAATAAGTGAGTTAATAACGCTTGATTGGAATTAACATGTTATGATTTTGGCCTGGATATCATCACTTATTTTTCATTACATAGTCCAGTTCAACGATTAACCTTGATTAGTTGATTGTTCTTTAATAGTTTGTTAGTTAGGTGTCATAATTTAACCGTTTACACACCAGGTTAACCGTGAGCTATAACCGACAACCGGTAACCCATGACAACCGGTAACCCATAACAACCGGTAATCCATGACAACCGGTAACCCATGATAACCGGTAACCCATGACCGACGACCGTACCATTGCGTGTTAACCGACAACCGTGCATTTTAATCTCTTCATCGTTTGAATAAACTTAAATATTCAGTAGATACGGACTATGTCCGTATCTACATTCTATATTAGTGAAAAATCCGTGGTTGCGTTTGTTCGTTCGTTCTCGTCTCATGCACTAACTAATTAATGAAAGTTATGGGACTGGTTTTTCGGTATAATACCGACAGAACTCTGAAAAATATTGCTGTACTTAGAAATCATGTAAATTTGACTCAGACTTTGGTTCCTTAATGTTCGATGGTGATGCAGTAAGATGTTCCATATTATGAAAATTGAATAATTTTGTATCATAGATGTATCTTTTCACTTTTGTTGCAGGCTGATGAGGGTTTAGACTAAGCGGGAATTCCAACTTTTGCACCATTTATAAACCGCGACAGTTAAATCCCGGCCGTAGGGCGTAGTCATGATATAATCTAAATAACTGACAATATTTTGCAAACTTTCCAACAGTCCCCTAACTTCTAGGGTCCCTAAGCATATGCAACGTTGTCCAATTTGAATTAATCACCAAGCCCAACGCATTTCTGAATTACAAAGGAATTAAATTTGGAAATTGGATACTCGGGTTAAACGTAATTAAATGGATTGAGCCATCCTTTATAGGTGCAGGTGTTGGTCTGTAACCGTATCGATGAACTTTGCAGATTAACGTATAATTGTAACGCTGAGTCACGGAACAACGCAGTGATGAAAACCTGTTACGCGTGACCTGAAGTGCTCTTTACAATAGGTGCAGTACTTGTTCATTTCATTACAAAATACTTGTTAATTTTATCATTTCTCGTTATCTAGACATGTTTTCTTTCAAACTTTTCTTTGTAATTTTCTTTTTCACCTCCGCCAGTTCTATCAGAACTGCAAATAGGGCAAGTGTAAATCGGCGCATAAGATACAAGGTAAACCTTGTTTTTTAGTTGTTATACATATATAGTTGTATCTCCTTGAAAGACTTATCGACTTCCGCAAAGTTATCTGCCCCGATTTCCCCCACCAACTTGGCTTCAGAGCTGGTGCACAGTGCTCGGATCACATCCTTACAATTACCACAATCATTGAGAAATACACGAAAAAGCTCAAAAAGAGAGTGTTTGCTTGTTTTGTTGACTACCGGAAAGCGTTCGATACGGTGTGCAGAGAAGCACTCATGTATAAGCTCAATCACCTTGGTATCGGAGGGAACTTCTTCGCTTGCCTTAAGAACATGTACAGCAACTCGGTGACTCGCATCAAACTGATCCAAAAACTATCGGAGACCATTGATGTCACCATTGGAACAGAGCAGGGGCATCCAATGTCTCCTGAATTGTTTAAGATATACATCTACGACCTCTCCATCCATCTAGCAGCCCTAGAAGATCTCTCTGTCCCTGAACTCAATGGCTTCCCAGTCAACCACCTGCTCTGGGCCGACGATCTCATCCTTTTAGCTCTTGACCAGCAAAGCCTTCAGAAAGAGCTTGACTGCCTAAATGATTTTGCAAACAAATGGGAGCTATCTATCAACATTGATAAGACTAAAATAATGGTCTTCAACTCAAGCTCGCGGGTGCTAAACTGCTCGTACGGGTTCAAGCTTGGACAGCTCGACATCTCTCCAACAAGGTCCTACTGCTATCTAGGTATCCAGCTCAGCCTCAATGGATCTTTTAAATGCGCCATGAACGAACTGAGGAAGAAGGCGCTTCGAGCATTCTTTTCGATAAAACGCATGGTAGACACCAGAGCTCTGACCACCAAAACCATGCTTAAGCTAATTGACTGTCTGGTGAAACCGGTAGCAACTTACGCCTGTCAGATATGGCTACCCTCGACTCACCTCATGAAAGAAATGGCGCGTGAACCCAGCCAAAGACACAACCTATCAAAAGTTGCAGCAAAAGACACTCTTGAGACAACACACCTCAAAATGCTGAAATGGGTACTGGGTGTGCACAAGAAAACTAACAACAACTTCTGTTACGGGGACACAGGAAGGATGCCCTGGGCCCTCTCAGTTCTGCCACAATGCCTCAGATACTTTAGAAGACTTTCCGGAGCTTCTTCTGAGACGAACAGTGTCAATTTTTTAGTATCTCAAGCGTTTCAGGAACAGAAAAATCTTAACCTCTCCTGGCACGAGAAACTCAGCTCTGTGGCTCATTATGAAACAGAAGCAGCTCATGGCACCATGAGGGATGTCTTTATCAGTGACTGGAGGGTGGACCTGGGATCGCAAACCAAGATGCAGTTCTACAACCAAATCAAGGAGGAATTTGGAGACGAGCAGTACCTCAATCTGAAGAGCAGGCAATTCCGAACGAATACAGCTAAAACCCGCTCCAGCAGCCACGACCTGATGATAGAAAGAGGGCGTTACACGAAGGAGGCCGGAGTCTGGTCAAGAGCATGCAGATTCTGCTGCGATAGGGATCACGTTCACGGCTTCGAATACCTTCCCTTCTTTGAAGGCACGATTATTGAAGACGAGGAACACTGCCTTACTGAGTGCCCCATGTACCACTCAGTACGATCTTCTCTCTCAGATGACCTTAAAGGGCTTTTACTTCTCAGGAACTACAAAGACATGATGAATTCAGCCCACATAGAAGAACTGGGCAAGTTTCTCAGCAGCTGTCATCGCATCAGAAATCCGAAAAAGACACCAACATCGTCTTCCACTTGATCTAACACATCCGGTAACGATTCCGAGTCACTGTCTTAAGGACATTTTAACTACCCCAGTGGCCCTTAACCAAGTGTTCGAACTGTTTTCATTTGGAGTTACAGTTGCATAATTTACGCCCGTCTTTGAATTTGTGTGTAATCTTTCCTGATAGTGTATTTTTGACTTTTGGAGTAATTTTGTGAATTTTATGAACCATTCCTGCATAATTTATTACCTTGTCGGTGCATTATCCACTTTAATCCGGTTAAATTATTATATTTGATCTTATTTCTTTTTCGTACAGAATGTAGTGAAGTTAATTTTTTTTTACGTGTTTTGGGTCTTATTTATGATTTTCTTTAAAATTATCTTATTTATTTCATTGTTGTATTGTCACGACGGGTTCGTTAGTGTTCCCCCTGACTATTTAAGTTTAATTCCAGTTTAATTCCAGTTTACATTACTTTGCTTGGCTTTTTCGTGCCACTTCGCTTTTCACGAATATACCTGCAGCTGTAGGAGTGGTTTAGGTCGTTTAAATGCTTCCTTACGATATTGTATTGCTATGAATGCTTCTAAGACCGAGTTCATGACCATCAACATCCCTGACACTGTCGACTTACATTCCATCTCAGGCCGCCAGATTAAACAGGTTGATGACTTTAAATACCTCGGCTCTTTCATTGCGGACAGTAGAAAGGATTTCAACACAAGGAAAGGAATGGCCTGGTCAGCCTGTATTAAACTGCAAAATGTCTGGTCCTCTGGCATTTCCGAACAACTGAAAGTCAAGTTCTTTAGAGCCTGTGTCGAACCAGTATTGCTCTATGGATCAGAGACATGGACCATAAACAAGCAGCTTGAGAAGCGCCTCAACGGATGCTACACCCGTCTTTTAATGAAGGCCAAGAACATCTCGTGGAAGAAACATCCAACCCTCAAGCAGATCTATGGCAACCTTCCATCTATTGCCTCAGTGGTTGCGTCGAGGCGTTCCAGATTCGCTGGGCATTGCATGAGAGCTTCTGACCAAGTTATCTCCACTATCCTCCCCTGGCGACTTGCCCAATCCGGCCGTGGAAGGAGACCACTCACCTTCCTGGACGTAGTAGCTCGTGACACTGGGCTCCAGTTAGACGACCTTCGAACTGTTATGTGCGATCGAGACGTGTGGAGGCAGACAGTGAATGGGATTTCGATTGAGGATCGCCCAAAGTAAAGTAAGTACGATATTGTAACTGTAACTGTAACGGCTGTAACGTCAGATGTAACTTCACTTTTGTTCAGGTATCGCTGGATATTGAACCTGCTGCAGGAGACAGCTCGGTCGGGTTAGGAGAAATAATGGATGATAGCATGATAGACAAATTAGGTAATCATTTATTATAATCATAAATATATATTTTTATATTAGCTAGAATATATTTAATTTACAATATTTAATTATTTTATCATGTTAATTACATCTGACCCCATTATCATGCCTGCTATGTTATTATGCGAACCCTTATAATGCGTTTTAAAACTTACTGAAGTTCCCCTTCCGTTTTACAAAAAAGTAATACTAGAAAAATTGTGCATTTTCGAATGGTTTGTATTGGTCTGTATTGGGCAATGGGCATATGTACCTCAGTACCTGGCTAATAAGTTTGTAGTAAAACACTTTTGGGAAACAATATGAACGGACTTTGACTTGAACAGTACACGGACGGAATTAATATGAACGGACTTAAATGTGAACGCTAGGGCCTCCAGCTTCCACGTAACGTTTGATAAGGAAAGATTTGCAATAATTGTGTCTTACCGTCATCAATAGATCTGGATACCTGCGAGAAGTAACTCTGCAGTCTCCGGGTTCTGATTAGTTATAATGCTGGAGATTGACATACACTAAGAAATTTTGTTTTTAACTTACTGCACAGATTATTTATAAATTATTTATAAACTACATTTCAACTGATAACCACATTAGTAATTAATGTACTATGATCATGATGTTTCAGAAGCAGACAGCAAGGATGATGGTATAGGATTTGACTGGTTTAAGGAGGCTGAGGCTGATACTGAGGAGGAGGATGAGGCTGAGGAGGAGGAAGAATTGATACCGCTGGTATGGCTAATTTATTCTATCAAACTTAAAGTCGCAGCTATATCGAACACTTTTATAGCCAACGATTGATTTTTAAAACAATTATAAAGGGACAATTGGTAAAATAATCCTAACTAAAAGTTAGGATTATTTTACCAATTAAACTATAAGTCAATAATATGTATCGTATTATGTGTCCCAGTTATCTAAAATAGTTCCTCGAGCTCCGAATAATAATAATAATTCTTTTCAGAAGAGGAGAGGTCCATTGGTGAGTATCGAGGATTTATTATTAATAGAAACTATCTGTAGATATTTTTCTCTATAAAGAAAACGTTACACGATCTCATTCTATCCGTTAAACATCCATGTCTTTAGTCTATCCAATTATTTACTTCAATCACGTCGAACTTGCGCTTGTCCCGTTATGGTTTATAATTATTTGTTGAACTCAGTGAAAACGGAACTTCACTGAACTTTTCTGTTACCACTTTTACAGATTACTTTTCATCTCCTTGAAATAATCTTCACATTAGACTTAGCTTACCATAAGTAGCTGATGACCACAACACACGATTTGCACGATTATAACATATTTTTAATCTTAACAACAAAAATTGAGTATAAAGCTTGCACCCATACCAAAAGCACGAAGATTTGAATATGGTAGACATGAAAATAAATTAGTAAGGGTAGGCTGAGGCTATGTCTCAACACCATGGAGACAAATTAACGTTCTGTTGAGCGGTGGTACTGGTAGAAATTTTAGATTTTCGTAACATTTAACCTACTAAGTAACGTGATAAACCCCCGCAGTGTTATAAGAAGAGAGAGGGTAAGGGTTGCTCGACCAATTTTAAGGGGCTGAGGAGAAAAGATAGTTGGTGGGTTTTCAAAAGGTATCGCTGTGTTGTGAAGGTGTACTCGTCAAGAGAAGACTTTGACTGCGTGGTACGTGACTGACCCTTTACGTTCTTCGTATGTTATATCCTTATATTCGCATTCTCTTTTCGTACACTAAGTCTTACTGGCAATAACCAGTAACCACAACAACCGCAACAACCACAACAACCACAACAATCCACAACAATCACAACATCCACAACAATCACAACAACCACAACAATAACAACAATCACAATTAATTTTTATCCCAGATTTATATGAGACACGATGAAGAAGATCAACGGATGATAAGTGAGAATTAAACTTATGTATTTTATCAAGTTTTACTTATAATGTCGTATTAACTGCAGGTCGCCAAAGAAGGGGCAAAAGCATCAAGTATACTGAAACTCACACAGATTTCCTTTTCGATTGCACAACGTATAATGTTTTTTCAACAATTATTTAGTTAAGCCTAAAACTACGGTTTCCTCTAGATGAGAGAGGGATAAGGTACACGGTGGAGTATAACTGGAGGAAAATGTTGGAGCTAGGCTACGAGGTTTGTTTTCGGTTCCTCTTCAATTCGTGGCTTTTTACTTTGCATGATGTGTATCCCATTCAATTTCAATGCATAAACCTAATCTTGAACTGTCTTCGGCGTGGGATTTCAAACATTTTTTACCTATTTTAATAATGTTTGAGTTTTATCATGATAATCTTTTGAATCTTTTATTATTTTGAATCTGAATAATAAACCCCGATTTACTATTTGTATTAACATGTGACATTTAGTAGATTTGTGGTGATTTTTTCTTACGTAGATTATAAAGCTTACGATTACGAAGGTTATAAAGCCACTGTGCAAACTTTAGTATTTTTACAGGATTCAGATACAGAGATAAGTGAGACGAGTGTTAAAAAGAATAAAAAGAGAAAGAAAGGGAAAACGGTGAGAAAAAAGAAGGGAAAGAATAAGCGGAAGAAAAAAGGTTGATGATATGTCGTTGTGCGGCAATATGAGGTATTTTTATAAATAAGCGATATTAAATATAACTTCAACATTGTTCGTTGGGTCTAGAAGTGTTCTCCATATTCCACACCTAAAATTTAACGAAAAAATGTCCAACACTGCATGTTGAGCATGATTATCGCCTTATTATAGATGTGCATTTTAAAATGCTCGTTGTGCCTTTAGTTCAGTAAGTACTAAAGTATACTAAGTATTGTACATTGTACTAAAGTAAGATATTATAGTTGCAATACAAGGAAGACTAAGGAAAAGGCTGCCTTCTGTTACTTAGTTTCTTTTGTAATTCTCTGATTCTCTGATATCTGAAAAGGTCGGTAGGAATTCCAATTATAAAAATGATCGATGCTGTACAAAAAAACATTTTTCGGGGTAAAAATTTCGGTCGGATTTTTGCTGGCGACATTTTTCCGGATTTAGAGTTGGCAAGACATCAGTTTAGATTTTATATGAAATGAAATGAGGTATTTATATCCCGCTCATATGATTAACCAACAACACAAGGAAGAGGTTAACCATGTCAGAGCGGCTGACTGTGAGTAAAGTGAGCAAATGTGTAAAATGAACAAAAGTATAACTCAAAAAGGCTTAAGACAAAATTAAAATTCTTTCTCACAATTATTCTTTAAAGATCGAACCCTGCACTAGGTTGCAGTGATCAGATATAAAATTCGTAGCACTGTTAGAATAAGATGATCGTTTACAAAAATCGCAACACTATTTGAGCTTTTGAGTAGGGTCATCATTCTAGAATGGTAACAGAAGAAAATATCTCCGCTGTTCAAGTCCGCTCCAATATAAGTGTTTACGAAACTCGCAACACTTATATTGGAGTATGGTGATATGATCACTATAATAGACTTTAGTAAAACATCTCTCCATATGCCCATCAGCTGTTCAGCAAGACTGATCACCCGATAGCAATTGTGCAGCACCGCGTATATGTACTATATATAAGTATAAACTATATCCAACCACTCGCTATATACTAATATCAGACCACTATGTTACTAGCCTTCCCTCAATATGGGATAATTGATTATTGAAGCCACAAAACCGTACTCTCTCTCTACTTTAGTATAATACATCAGGTGATATAGAAGCTCGCATCCGAGTTTCACGATCATTTTCAGCCGTCTTTTAACTTTTTGAGCAAGCTTAAAGCAAGCTCGTCAAGAAAACTGATCACTGAAAGATCGCACCGTGAAATTTAGTCGAAATTTGACTGAAACAGGTGATTTTAACAAGATAATAAATATACAATCACCTCATGTGATAGTTGAACAGCTGCACTTTGTACTCATAATGTTTCCTAATTTGCAGTCTAGTAGTTGCACTGTACTGACCAATGCGCCAATAAACCATCCTGCCAACTATCACGTGCACTTATTGTCCAATGCTCGCACGTTGATCCCACGTGCATGTTTACCACGTGGGCGCTATCATCCAATCAACAAACAGTCCGAGCAGTCGCCTCATTAACTGCTGCTGAGGGTGTATTACGAAGTTGGCTCACACAAATGTAACTCTCTGGTAATTGCAGGCAATTGTAAGGAGTCTGCAGATGTTGGAGATGATGGTGGTCTGATATCTAGGAGTGGAGATAGAGAGATGGGGTGATCGTGGGAAGGGAGAGGGGGTATATAACGACCCCCTCAACACAGGTTAGTTCAGTTCACTATTTGAGTATTTGGACACAACTGTCCTCTCTGGATACAGCTTTCCTCTCCGGTTGTTCTTGATAGCATGGGATTACCTTCCCTTCATATAACTTTTCTGTTCGACACAGAACTTTTCTAGTTTCCGTTAATACTTAATTTGGCTCAATTTGCTCGTTAGCCTTTAACTTTCCTTGATAATAATTCTTGCTAACACTCCAACATATCTGAATGTAAAATTTCGGCGATAAGAGTTTTCCTGCCTGCGATTGGTTCACTCCTGACATTACGAAAATTATTAGTTAGCTTGCAATCTAATTGTTGATATTTCCGTCTGCAAACATTGGATTTACTGCACAATTATAGCTAGCCACTACTCAACCAGTTCGTCTCAGCTATTTCAGGCATACTTGTGTGCTGTGTGTAGAGCTATTTAAATTTGCAAAATTTACTGCAGCAACATTTACCGTGGTATCTTGCGACCCAAGTGAAATTGTAGATGCTCTCAAATCAAGATATTTAGTTTCTAGTTTCTACGGCTTCATAGTGCCTACTTGCTCTTGTGACATCTCGGATTTCGATTATCGCTTTTCATCGGTCTAATTGCTTTAAGATTTATTGGTCTGAACTTTTCATGAGAGCAGTTCCATTTATTGCTTTTCTGATTCGCACTGAAATCAACATGCTACATAACGCGACCTTGACTAATCCTGATATCCAATATAGCTCTTCCATGCACTAGATATTCTGCTTCTTCATCTGTTCCGTTCTTCAAACTTTTTATTATTATTCTTTATTTATCATATGCAGCCACAAATTAGAAATATTTTCTAAGTTTTACGATACTGAGTACTTCCTCAATCTCCTACTGAGTATTTATTCAATCATCACTCTGAATAAAACTGTATTTTCTATTAAGATTCTCATACATACTTTATAACGTTTTCGAAAGGTTTTACTTCACTCAATCTAACTGTTGTCTTACCCTCTAGCTATCTCAACCGCAAACCAACAACCGAATCAACCATGTCTGTCAAAGTACACTCTCCCAATGTTGTCTACTCCGAGGATTGTATCGAGTCAAGATACGAATATAACACCACCTCTGTTACCACCAACAGGTTAGAACTCAGTGCAACTTTATATATTTGTTCTTAATATTTTATAGCATCTTATAAATAAGTTGACGATTTCTATAAATGGAATTGATTAATTGATAGATATTTCTCACGCCTTTATCATTAAATTTCAGTGTCAAACTTTAAATGGTATTCTGAAAACATAAATTCTATAGATCTGGACCACTAAACCTAACACTAACCCTCTTCCAGTGACGGCAGCTACTCCGCAGTACCCCGAACCAACACCATGGTCTTCAAAACAGACACCTGTGTACCCAAACTCGGAATGATGCTGGTCGGACTGAACGGAAACAACGGAACCACCGTCACAGCGGGAATCCTGGCCAACAAGTTCAACTTGTGTTGGAACACCAAGGACGGAGAGAAGAAGCCCAACTATTTCGGAAGTATCACCCAGGCAGGAACTGTAGGACTCGGTGTTAATGCGATTGGGGAGGAAGTGCACGTGCCTTTCAACGATCTCGTCCCAATGGTGCACCCTAATGACATCGAAGTTGACGGTAAGTTTCTTTGTTTCAATCTTTTGTATCACTTAAAATATGACATCCGTATAATTCTTCATTTTCCTGTAAATTTTGAGAAACAGTTTTAAAATTTCGATGAGCGTAATAAATCATGAAGTACTCGTTTTAAAATGAAACTTGCATAATTTATTTACCACATTTAATTGAACCCTATCTAATACCCTATTTTAAACAATTTTAACCCTTTTCTTCATCTTAGGCTGGGATATCAACTCAATGAACCTGGCCGATGCTATGGACCGAGCCCGAGTTCTGGATTATTCTCTCCAGAAACAACTCCGACCCTACATGGAGAAAATAGTACCACGACCCTCAATATACTGCTCTGACTTTATCGCCGCCAACCAGGTAATTCATTAATTAATTATCGTGGGTTTAAAGTTATCCATTCGCAAGAACTAATCCTCCAGTAAATGAATTTTAATGATAATTCAGTGATAACATTTTAGAATGAAACCTTTTTTGATCAAATGCACCTGCCTGACTTTTATCAAAGTCCTGAAACCTATAAAGACCTGCCCTCCTTTACATTCCCGTCCTATACCTGGCGACACCCTGGGGCGCAGCTGCCTTTTAAATTTAGACAGTCATCGAGTTTCGAGAGTATCAAATTCTAAGGGGCAAATTGCGACATTTTTAAACTAGCATATCGTCATGGGCAGGTGCTGCGGTAAATATTTTACCGGTTCAATTCTAAACAATGTAATATTGGTAAATTTAAATCTAATTAATTTGTTTCAGAGTGACCGAGCAGACAATGTTCTTAGTGGAACTAAGCAGGAGATGATGCAGAAAATCAGAAATGATATCAAAGATTTCAAGGAGAAGAAAAATCTGGACAAGGTATTTTAGAAATTTAGATTTATGATATTTTTTCTGCAAAACTTCTTTGATTTTGATCAACACATTCCTGGATCCAAAGTTTTCGATCCAATTCAACCTCAAACCAATGTGAAGATCTCGGTCACTTTTAATAATTCTAAAAGAGGTGCTAACACAAATTATTTCCAGGTAATTGTCCTCTGGACCGCTAACACTGAGCGATTCTGTGACATCACAGAGGGACTCAACATGACAGCTGAAGAGCTACTGAACTCAATCCAGAACAACGAAGAAGAGGTGTCACCATCAACCATCTTTGCTGTGGCCAGCATCCTTGAGGGTTGCACTTACATCAACGGATCACCACAGAACACCTTTGTTCCAGGTACTGAGACTTTATCAGTTTACTGATCTTCATATCTGTTAATCTGAGTCATAATCACTTGATATCGGGATCGGTGTGGTGTCAGTTTTCTGTTAAGAAATATATGATCGATACCTAAAATTACAGTCACAACCAGAACTTTAAATTGCTCAACATTGAAAAATGAACAGCCTGCAGTTAGTGTAGACAGTGACAACTTCATTTTAAATTCCTACTCACACTTATATAATTTCAGGAGTTATCGAGCTCGCTGAGATGGAGGGAGTCTACATTGCCGGAGACGACTTCAAATCCGGACAGACCAAATACAAGAGTGTGTTGGTAGATTTCCTGGTAGGAGCTGGAATCAAGCCAGTCTCTATCGTGAGCTACAACCATCTGGGAAACAATGACGGAAAGAACCTCTCCTCTCACAAACAGTTCCGATCCAAGGAGATCTCCAAGAGCAATGTTGTTGATGATATGGTTAACAGCAATAAGATCCTTTATGCTGATGGAAAGAAACCTGACCACACGGTAAGAACTACAACAAATATTTTTCAATTTCAGTCCTTTTCCTTCATCTATTTAATCTAAATTTTATGACTTTCATGGCCTTCAACTGAAAATTGGTGTTTAGAAAATATGCTTTGACCAATTAACATACTAATCCAATTATATCCGCAGGTTGTCATAAAATACGTTCCCTACGTTGCAGACTCCAAACGAGCTCTGGACGAGTACATCTCCGAGATCTTCATGAACGGAATGAACACAATTGTGTGCCACAACACATGTGAGGACTCTCTACTCGCCAGTCCACTTATTCTTGATCTCGTTATCTTGGCTGAACTTTGCGAGAGAATCACGGTTAGTCCCATTTCATACTAAGATACTTAACGCTCTTTTTGTATAGCACTTGTGATTATTACTCAGTTAGAATTAGTCCTAATTCTTAATTCATAGGGTTAATATTAAGCACCGCGTTACGCTCTTGAAATTCGAATTTTACTTACTCTAGATATGTTATTCATTCATGTATAGTCGAGACGATGGCGTTAGTGCCATCTCCGACAACTTTACGTTTAATTCCGTTTAATTCCGTTTAATTCCGCTCGGTTGAAATTGTAATGAATCTAGAAAATTACACCCACATTGTTACCACTTACCATATATCATAACTGTGGGCTAATATTACGTCCATTAATAACGATCTCATCACCTCAACTTACCCTTCTCATATTTCAGGTCCAACTAGAATCTGAACCAGAATCTCGCCGATTCAACTCCATCCTCTCTATCCTGAGTTATTTGTTGAAAGCACCTTTAGTCCCCGCTGGAACACCAGTTGTCAACGCGCTCTTCAAACAGAGGTCGTGTATCGAAAACATCATCAAAGCTTGTATCGGACTCCAGCCAGGCAACCACATGCTTCTGGAGCACAAGATCGGAGCCCCACTTCAACAGGTGAGAGTGGTTTAAATATAATATTCTTTATGTTTATGTCTCTGAAAAATTGTATTTGAATATCTTAACCCATATCTCTACAGACTAAAACTATTAAAACACATTCCTAAAAATCTTTTCTTCAGGATTTAAAGATGACCACAAAAGCTAACCTGATGAAACACGCAACCAACTCAAACAGACAAACGTACGGACACGTCAAAACACCGTCCCAGTAACCATGGTAACCGCACAATTCTAACCATGAGACATTTGAGATGTATATTTTTGTAACGACACTAATGGAGCACTAATCCATCTGCTTAATTTAATTTAAGGGATATTATTTATCAGCTCCCTTGTCATGCTGTATTTGTTTGTTTATGCAGGGATGTTTATTAAACGCTTTCAGAAGAAATCACGACCGTGAAAGTAATTTCCAGTGCATGGGTTTGTTTTATAATAACCATGGTAATGTTTTATTGTAACCAATAACCATGGTAACGTTTAACGGTTTGTTATACTTAATATCGTGACCAGCTTTTCTGCGATGGTGAGAATCGCAAGTTCAATTTATTATTATAATGATTTGAATGTTTTTAATATAAATGTTTTTTAAATGTATATATAAATTATCTGCACTCTATCCGAATCTTATCATAATTCTTTGTTTCAATTATTCAATAATATAAGGCTTAAGTTAAAATTTTGAGTTTATTCTTAATCTCAGTTAAAAGTTATAAAACTTATCCCGACTTGAAATTTAAGTGAACAAATGTTGTTTTCTTCTGTTTCAAGTTGTAGTAAGTATTGATAACTTCAAATAAAAGTTAACATTGTTTCTTTTGTCTTTTGAGAGGAAGCTTGTTTCAAGAAGAAAATATCCTTCGGCTTCTCAAAAGAGAACAGAAAAGTTAGTGTCAGATTTTGATTAACTTTGTTTTGAAGTTATTAATACTTGCTGCAACTTTAAACAAAATTTTGAAACTTTAGAAAATTATAAAATGATTACACGCCAGCACTAATTTACGAAATTTTGTAAAAAACCCAATATTGTCATGTTCAGGTATATAAAAAACATAAAATGCCACTAAAATTACCATGTGAAAGCAACTAAAATTACCAATAAAAACATTTAACCCCCAAGAAATTACACAGAGAGCAAAACCAATCATTACCGTGAATCATGCGACGGGATAGAGATAGGAAGCCCAAAACACACTATTTCATACACTATATATTCACTATCCAGTCTATATATATTATATTAATATAGACATTAGACGCTTCCGGCTTCTTGTGGGAGTTAAGTGTTCATCTTGGACATCAAAATGATCAAAGCTTCGCATTGAATAGAGTACTCAGACTTTAGGTAGTACCATGCTCTACTCCCCGTACTGCTATAGTTCTAAATATTTTAATGCCCAGGCTAAGCAGTAAGCACCGAACTCCAATCAGAAGCCGAGATATTATCTTTAAATGAGTGTTTTAATTGTTGCAAGTAAGTGCTTTAAAATAGGGTTTGGCCTAATAAATCAACAGCCCGATTGTCTGAGGACTTCAAATATATGCTCTACCCGGCCCACTCAATGAGGTAATTTTAAACATTTTGCTGCCCGAGTTTTCAGTTTAGCTCCTATTAGTATTCCTAACTCCAATCAGAATCCGAGTTCTTTGATTTTAAGCGCTGTAATCGCTACTCGCGAGAGCGTAAAAAGAGGTTTTTGCCTAATATAACTCAGTCTCAACAACCTGACGTCCGAGGACTTTGAAATTGTGATTTACCCTACTAAATGTAGTGATTCTAAACATTTAATGCCAGGATAAGCACCTAGCTCAATCAGAAGCCGAAATATTTCGTATTTAGTATGCAAATTATGACTCGTGAGAGCAAAAAAGGGTGTGGTCACATAACTCAACAACCTGATGTCTGGTGACTTTAAAATTATGCTCTACCCCCCTAAATGTGATGATTCTGGACATCTATAGAGCCAAGCTGATTGTAATTCCAATTGGAAGCGGAGTTATTAGTCGCGAAAGCGCCAAAAAATGGCGTAGTCAATTGTGCAAAACTGCACCGTAGCCAAAATTTCTACCCAAGCCTAATTTATTCTGGCTATTCCAAGTCTCAAACCCCGGGGCGGAAATTATATAGACGGGAATGTCTTCAGATTCATGAGTATTACTGTTCAGTATTTATGAACGTGTACTATCAATCATGAACACAAAAGCCTGTCGCCTAAGGTCCCCAAATCTTGTAAATCTTGTAAATCTCGTAAATCTTGTAAATCTCGTAAATCTTGTAAATCTTGTAAATCTTGTAAATCTTGTAAATCTTGTAAATCTTGTAAATCTTGTAAATCTTGTAAATCTTGTAAATCTTGTAAATCTTGTAAATCTTGTAAATCTTGTAAATCTTGCAAATCTTGTAAATCTTGTAAATCTTGCAAATCTTTTAAATCTTGTAAATCTTGTAAATCTTGTAAATCTTGTATGGCATTATGCATGGGGCACTCCTAGCAAGCTTATGGTTGAGGATGTGTTGCAATTACCTTTTCGGTCCAATCACCGTCCTTTCGGTACAGAATGATCACGCAGCACAGTCGCGACCCATTACCCAACCTCAGTATTATATTTATAATATGCAAAGAGGACAGTTGGGTTTACTTAACCGATTAATCCTAACTGGTTTAGTCAATTAAGCCGCCGCGCCAATTGAACTGTGAAAACATGTAAAATTTAGTAATATATAAAGTTGTGGTAAATTTTGGATGATAATTAATCACTCTACACTCGACTGTCACGTGACTTTTTCAACCCGTTCTCTAGCTGGTCCTGAACGACTATTCGAAACCCTAACCCTCTTATCTGACCCCAACCCTAACCCTAACCCAATCCTTAACAAAAGCACATGCTGAAACTCTAACCCTAACGAGAAACTAGACTAACTTCCTTATACGGTCATATCACGTGATCGAGACAGTTTTTCGCCTATATCTCGTCAGGGGAGCATTTTAACCCTATGTCATGGGGGGTGATTCGGAATCAGCGTCCGAAAATACATCGAATGAAGTTGGTTTCAACTGTCGGGGGCCCTTTTAGAACAATCTCGAAGATCGACTGTAGAGTGATTTAGTACGCTCGGTAAATTTTTGCTTACAAAGATTCAGAGGGTATTAATATTATTGAGCCAGCGTGCAAACTTTAGTATTTTTACAAAATTCAGATAGTGATTCGAATCAAAAAAGAAAAAAAAGGAAGAAAGGGAAAACAGCGAGAAAAAAGAAATAATAAAAAGAAATAATAAAAGAAAAGGAAATAATAAAAGAAATAGTAAAAGGGAAGAATGAGCGAAAAAAAGGTTAATGATATGTCATTGTGGCATGATTAGGTAATTTGAATTACAGAATATTATTTATAAATCGTTGTTTAAAATGTGGCCGTATAGTGATCATGTCCACATGTGAACACGATCATTATTATATTAATATAGTTATAAAATGACATAGCCATGTAGCAATTATAATTAATTGAATTTAATTTTCAAAAATGAAGCATCGAGTCATGACAAATCTTTAATAAAATTGATATTGGTAAAATTTGAACTTGAAAGTGTCATTTTCCTGCCTGTTAGTTGTGAATAGACCAATTTCCCGAGCAAGATTAAATTATATCCTTGCTACCGTAGTCGAATCGCTGCCCTTAAATAGGTCAGATAATTCTTTTAGTGTTGCCAGCGGGATATGATCGGAATCTGTACTTGTGGAAGTCGCTTAAATGAGTCCTGAGGACATGTTGTCGGATTACTTGCGCTGCTATCTACATCGCTGTTTGTCTCTTTCTGCTTGAACAACTGCATGCTGGTGCAGAGACTTAGACTTACGTATCAAGGTTGACTTCGTGATCAGTCTGTATTCTTGTTCTACATCTGCATCTAGAATACCGGGATCTGAGTATAACTTTACCAGCCACACAATTACAAAGTTAAGGTTGTTTAATCTTTCTCTTTACATATCGTGTACGTAGTCTATCGAGAAGAGTTAGAGCAAGTTGCGATTATATCTCTTCTAGCTTGCTGTCAATTAAGTAAACAATCACTTCTGCTTGAGCGAGATTGCTTTCTCTTTTACACAAAAACACAGTTGCTGTCTTGAACGGTGTGTGAGTCTTGGTAATGTCTTTAACTAACTCAGTCTCTCCTGCATCCAGTTTTAGATTGCCTTGCTCCAAGTCATCCAAACCTAAGTTCACTGCATCAGGTATTCGGTCATATCTCTCCAGCATACTGCACAGCGATCTCCAACGGCTTTTGCAGTCTCGTTGTAATATGAGTTTCTTTCCGACTTCCGTGCTTCAACAAAGAACAATAACAACGTCTGACCATACAATCTCCAAGCTACCTACTTTCCTAGATGCGACATTTCAAGTTTCACGTCCACAAATGACAAATACATACACACTACACAGCACGTCATCATACCATCACACTGCAAATTATGCTAGCGCCTAGCACTGGAGTTTAACTTTATAAACAAAGATACAGATTCGAAAAATATGTTACATTTTGGGTCATTTTCCCCTAATAAAAATAGGTGGATTATTGCGATAATTCTTAAAAATTATCGCGATAATCGATAACGATTTTTGAGAAATTATCGCCGATAATATCGGTTGGCAACCCTAGTAAAGCTGCATTCTGCGTTACTTATTTTCTTTGGGAAGTGGCTAAGCTGCAAAAAGACCGCTATATAAAGATTTAAGTCTTTTACATTTTTCAGTGAGACTCTCTAAATATAAGCAAATATAGCTACAAGACCGTCGTGTTAAACTTAAGTTGATATAAGTCATAAGCAAACAGTTCAGACTATAAATATATCTGAAAAGGTGGATTGACTGATGATGTGCAAATTGTGCAAAGGAAAAATTGTGCCGTTGAAAAAGTGCCGGTCAGATTTTTGTTGGCAATAATTATTTAGATTTAAAGAGTCGGCAGTTTATATTTTTGATCACAATTATAGGTTAGATCGAACCCTGCAGGTTGCAGTGATCAGTGATCAAATTCGTAGCACTATTAGGGTATTTGAGTAAGGTGATCATTTACAAAAGTCGCAACACTATTTGAGCTTTTGAGTAGGGTGATCATTCTAGAATGGTAACAGATGAAAATATCTCCGCTGTTAAAGTAGGGCGATTATTTACGAAACTCGCAACACTATTGGAGTATCATGGTGATCACTATAATAGACTTTAGTAAAACATCTCTCCATATGCCCATCAGCTGTTCAGCAAGACTGATCACCCGATAGCAATTGTGCAGCACCGTATATATACTATATATTATATAAGTATATGCTATATCCAACCACTCGCTATATACTAATATCAGACCACTATGTTACTAGCCTTCCCTCAATATGGGATAATTGAAGCCACAATACTGCACTCTCCTAATTCTCTCTCTGATCGCGAGACTTTTGTACATCAGGCGATATATTTATAGCATCCGAGTTTCACGATCATTTTCAGCCGTCTTTTAACTTTTTGAGCAAGCATAAAGCAAGCTCGTCAAGAAAACTGATCCCTGAAAGATCGCACCGTGAAATTTGGCCGAAATTTGGCTGAAACAGGTGATTTTAACAAGATATATACAATCACCTCATGTA